GATGGTGGTGGTGATGGTGGTGGTGATGGCGGTGGTGATGGCGATGGTGGTGGTGATGGTGGTGGTGATGGTGGTGGTGATGGTGGTGGTGATGGTGATGGTGATGATGGTCACCCCTGCCCACCTTGCAGAACTCACAAGTGGCTTCCTACATTTTCCACTTGGAACATTTTTTAAAGCCAGAGTGGGAATGAAGGCCCAGATGGGTGGTGGCTTTTGCCAGCGTGTGTGGATGGATGTCCCACTGAGGGTGCCGGTTTGTTCCTCAGGGACACGGAGGCGCTGCGGGCTCTCCTGAGCCACCATGGCTCGTTCCTGAAGCAGCACCACGTTCAGCTCCCGGAGGCGGTGGCGGAGATGTTTGAGCAGCTGCTGGCATCGGGAGAGGAGGAGCAGGACGGCCAGGTGGGCACTGACACCGTGGGTAAAGCGGGGCCACCAGAGCTTCCTCTGCCCCGCTGTGGCTGTGCCCTGTGCCCTGGGTGTGGCTTTCAGGGCAAGGACACAGGGCAGGCTGTGCTTAACCAGCCCTGGGGGTGTCAGGGAGATGTGTCCAGTGCTTCATCCCACAGGAAAAGGGGCTTGGTAAGGTCACCACCCTTCATGCCAGTCAGTCAAGCTCACCCCTTTGCTCTGGTGCAAGCCACCACGAGGCTTCTACGTCTTTCTCTGTGACTTTTTATTATGAATGGTGCATTTTGACTTTTTGTTAAGCAGAGTGAGGTTTGGTGCTGAACACACAGAGCATTTCATAAATGGTGGCACACTCATGGTTTTTCTAAGTTAATGTGAAAGGCTGTAGCCAACTGTTTAAATAAACCAACAAATGGCATTCCATAGGCTGCGAGTGCCTCAGCCTCTTCCTGTGCTGTTAAACAATTGATTTGCCAATCTGTGAGAGTTAGGGCAGAAGAAGGAGTAGATTTGACAGACTCAAGTCCGTATTTCTGTCCCAAAACCAGCCCCAGAGGAACACCCTAGAAGTCAGGTAATGGAACATCTAACAGAAACACCCTGGAAGCAGATTACCCTGGGAGAGTGTCCATTAGCCTGAATGTGTGGGTTGGAGAAGGCTGGAGGGGGAGGATAATGGAGCTGTGGCTGTTTGTGCTTTGAATGCTCAGGCTGTGCCGGTGCTGAGAGGGGCCCTTCCAGGAGAGCGTGGGGATGGGTCGCCTGTCCAGAGCGACGAATCCTCTCTCGGCCTGCCAGCGATCCCCACCAACGGCGGGGAAGGAAAGCAGGGGGAACTGGCACGGAGAGAACCAGGTAAGGGGTGTTCCAGCTCTGGCTGCCACTCCAGGTTCCTGCTCTGGACACAGGGGAGTTCTGTCCAAACCCTCAGGGCTCTGTGCGCTGGCAGATCAGTGTACGTTTGTGATGGATTTGGGGGCTTTTCCTGAATATCTCAGTACTGCATGTGATTCTGGCTACTTCCCAAACTAAGTGATGCCTGAGGTGGTGGGTTTTTCTGCAGGAGAGGAAAGGCCAAGCCCTGTGGCTGCTATAGAACAGATCAATGGGTTCTGTGGGCACCTTTAATAAACATCTCCCATTTAGGAACTGGGGGATGCAATTGCTGCCTCCTGTGACAAAGCCAGACCTCAGAAGGAATTGCCAAAATGAAAGGGTTCACGTGGGGCCATTTCCCAGCTCGGGACGTGCCGGTGTCGGGGAGAGCCCAGCTCGTTCCTTCAGACAAGGAGGGAATGCTGCAGTGGTGGCAGCTCGCTTGCTGTGCTCCTGGAGCACCCCTTCCCTCGCAGGCAATTAGGCTGCTGTGCTCTTTGCACGGCAAATGCAAACAGGCTGCTCCAGGCACCGAAATGCACGCCACTCTTACGAGCAGAGGCGAGCAGACTTTGATTTAAGCTAATTTCCTGCAGCAGGTCTGGCACACGCCGCCGCTGCCGGGTTGTTTGTTTCCCAAATCCAGCGGGTCTTCAGTTCCTCAGGACATTTGGCTGGCTCGTCCTTCTGTGAGGAAGCTACAGAGAGCCAGGGTGGCAAGTTCCCAGTGAGCGCCGCTTTTAAGAGCGGTAATGGATAGTTTAGATCAATAAACAAGAGATAGCAAAAGTGGGAAATTAAAGGGAGTAGGGCTTAAAAGCAAGCAGAGCGGTCTGCTGGCTGCCGCTTTGAAATGGTTTCATTACGGCGCGCTCACATCCACAAGTCACAGGCTGGGGTGAAGATGAGAGCGGGCAGGGAGTGTGGTGGGACAGATTCTGTTGCGGGTGGAAGGGGCGGCTGCACGCTGACCTCGGGCCCAGCGCTCGTTCCCCTGGGCTGTACAGCCACAGCCGGCTTGACGGGGAGCAAACCCAGCCGCTGGCCCTGGGGCGGATCGAAGGTCCTGTCACAGAGCCCAGCTGGGCACAAACGAGGCTGGGGAGCTGGCACCGCTCCCATTCCGTGTCATGGTCCCACATTTGTGCCCTGGGAATATCCTCACCAGGCCTGCCAGCCGTCTTACAGGGGTCGGCTTCCGTGGGCACGATGCGGTCGTTCTGCGGCCAGCTCCAGAGGGTGCTGCTTCGGCTCTTTCCGTCGGTAATGGACTGGGGAGCGCTAGATCAGCCTGGGGCAGATCCCAGCGGGGCAGGAGCTGTGCCTGTGGCAGGCAGGAGCTGTGCCTGTGGCAGGCAGGAGCTGTGCCTGTGCCTGTGCCTGTGCCTGTGCCTGTGCCTGGCAGGAGCTGTGCCTGTGCCTGTGCCTGTGCCTGTGCCTGTGCCTGTGCCTGTGCCTGTGCCTGTGCCTGTGCCTGTGCCTGTGCCGGGCAGGAGCCCCCTCTGTGCCTCCTGGGAGCAGTGGCTCCCTCCGGGCAGTGCCATCAGTGACACTTGCCGGCCTCTCCTGGCTCTCAGAGGTGCAAGTGCTGATGCCTCCTGTGCGTACAAATGCCAAGAGGCTCCTCAGCCAAACCCAGCGACTCCGGTTCCAGCCCATTGCCAGGGAGCTGTCTCTGCTGTTCCTCTGTCTCCAGGAGTGAGGCTTCTCACACCTCACTTGAAAGCCAAGCTGCTCCTTTCAGACACGATTCATCTTCAGCCCGTGATCTTGTGCAGGCTCCTTGTTGCCCTCCCCTCCTCTCCCTGCCAGGCAGCTGCTCTGCTCCCTTTTATCATCGCCATTTGCTGTGGCCCCGGGGCTCTGGAGTCATTACGGGCCCAAAATAGAACCCACATCTCTTGTGTGTTGGCTTTTGGGCTCACACAACTTGTTTTCAGGGGTTTAGATGAATTGAAATATGACGGCCATCTGTACATGACTGTTTTGCTGTATGACTTTTACTGAGCTTAAAGGATACAAATTTGGGTTGTTTTGGTTTGTTTATTTCAGTAGATGCCGCATTTTTAAAGTGTTGGTTTGTAACACCAGGAGCCTTTTGGGGCTTTGGGGTTTGACGGACTTCACCGTGAGAGCTGCATGGATGCAGTCTTTAGGATGGCGCTTTGGGAATGCTTCTGGAGTTTTGGTTAATTTTTCTTATTTTACATAAAAAAGAGAACCAAGACACTGATTTCCTTGAGCATCTGGGAATATTCCAGAAGTATTTGCGTTGGTTCTTTAATGCCTCTCATCCTTTAAAGGGATGGTGCACGGCTGGCCCTGTGGCACCAGGTTATGTGAGGATAACAGAGGGAGAGCACGGCTCCTCCTCAGCTCCTCCGTGGCTGCTTTGCTTTTTATCGGGGAAGGCGCGTCAAAGAAATTGTTCGGCTCTTTGGCTGTTCCTGAGGTAGGCGAATAATGCGAGATTAAGAAGGATAAAACCCATTATTTCTTGTTTTGCTGGATGACTGTTTAAGAGTCTCATTTACGAGTAGGAAATTGCTGATTTTATTGAAGGGGCAGGTTTGTTAAATCTTTAACAAAACCAGATTCTCTCTCTCCCCTTCGCTTGTCTTTGATTTGAGCAGGCGTTAAGGCCGTAGAGGATTTGAATAAAAATGGCGAAGCTGCTCCACTCGTTGGGCTCTGCTTTACAGAGCTGGGGGATGTCACCCCCGGCTGCTCTCCAGGTCTAAAACCTCCTGTAGGAGTAGGGAGGAAAAGCCCCATTACGAAATCGAAATCAGCCCTTCTTTGTGTATTATTTGGGAACATGAAGGAGCACAAGCTGGATTCAGGCCACCTGGAACGAGCCAACAATCCTGCCACCACTTTTCCCACAGCCACGTGTCCCTCCGGTGAGGCCCTCCTGGAGGATTCCGAGGTGCTGCTCGCAGTGCACCAGTCAAGGCGTTTGATGAGGCTCACTCAGCTGTGTTTGATATTTTTTGATATTTTATATTTTGATATTTTGCTGTGTTTGATACGGTGTGATGCGTCTGGGACGGAGGAGGTTCCTCGGGCCAGCGCCAGGCTGGACACTGCGCTTCGGTCAGAGTGGATGATGCCATCCAGCAGCTCGTGTTGGGCTCTTGAGCTCCTGAAAGACCTCGCAGGGAGGATTCCTGGAGTTGTGAATTCTGGGTGGAGATTCTTCGTCCTTCTTTAGGCAGAGGCAGCAGCAGCTTTGAGCGCTGCGTTTGGGAGAGGCAATGCCGTGACCTGGGATACATCGTGGGAAAGTGGGGGGTAATTATTTTTTTTACCCCCTTTCTCTTTTTTCCCTCTCATTCTTGATTTCCCTCTCCTCCTGGGCGGGCTCTGGCACCTCTTTGCTGGAAGTGTGAGAGCGAGCAGGATTTTTGCCGCTGCAGTCCGAGTGCAGAAGGGACTGGGAATGTGCACAGCCAGTTAGGAAGCGCAGAATCCAGTGTGGACAGAAATACTGAACTGTCCTGGCTTGGGCCATTGCTGACAGCAGGGCTTGGTTATGGTTTCAGAGCTGTAGATAAAAACATACATATAAATATATATATATATATATGTGAAGCAGCCTTTTAAAGTGGGGGTTTGTGCTTGAGCATCGTCTGCTTTGGAAATGAATACAAAGATGAGCAATTGTCTGACTCCAGTGAATGAATCCATTTGCTGCTTCTTTTTTTTTTTTTTTTAAATCAATCTTTGCGGAATAGAAATGAGCAGAGCAGGGGGAAAGAGGAGAAAGGAAAGTGGGGATAAAAGGTTTTGAAATAGTTGGGTGTTTGGCTGTTTAAGTCATAAAAATCTCAAGATAGGTGTTTAATTCGATTTCTATAGAATTTATTAATTTTTGTCTAATTCAAGAGAATGGTTGAAAACACAGAGGTATCGAGTAATACTGACAGAACTGTAACATTCCAAAATAATCTACATTTAAGGGGAAGGAGAACAAAAATAACCTTTCTGCTTAACGCAAGTGGCAACTTGTGAAGCTGAGAGTCCCTGTTTTTCTGCACAGGTGGGGATCGCGGCCACGACAGGCCCGAAGGAAGCGACAGCCTGGGACATTGGGACAGCAGCTCCTCGTTGGATGGAAGCGCTCCTCCCTTCTCCAGGTGAGGCTGTGACACTGGGAACGGTTCCATGAGGGAGAAAGCCTGGCAGAAAGGGGCTGAAGCTCCCCCGATTTACTTTTGTGCTTGGACCGGGGTTAAGGTTGCTGTTTCTGTAATCGAGCACTGCAGCTTCTGAACTCATACCTCAGGATATCAGCTCCTCCTTGCTTTTAATCCTCCTGCTCCACGGATTTTTAGGCTGCTGTGGGTGAGGCCAGTTCTGATTCTGCAATTGCACAGAATTTCTATAACTTGAGCACGTTAAATAGGAGCTGTAACCCAGCATCGATGACTGGCATCCCTGCTGCTGTGGGGGATTAATTCTTACCATCTTGGGTTGAATTGTTTTCTCTTTTCATATTTTCTGGAACTTTGAGAATGGTGAGCCAAGTTATCCTGCCTTGTGCTGCGAGATGCAGGGGCGTTCCTGTAGATGAGCTTTTGAACTGGTACATTTTAGCTCTTCCCTGAAGCCTGGGACAGCTGGAAGAGCAGGACAGGGCCCCGAGAACGAACTTACAGGATCACTGCGGCTGAATAAAACGCGTAATTTAAAATTTCCTATTTTTTTATTTAAAATAAAACATGTCCTAGCTAAACGCTGCTGCGCTGCTGGCCGGTCGTGGCCGCAGCCACTTCCGCCTCGGTTAGGAGCCGTGCAATTTCTTTTGCCCTTATTTTTTCTTTTTCTCCAATTTCGATTTGTAACAGACTTGAAATAACTCCCTGTGGTCTGTAACTGCAGGCCCCTGTCTCGGTGCTCAGCAGCTTTGTGCAGGGGCACGCGGTGACGCTGCTTTAAAAAGCCACGGTGCTCAGTGTGTGAGTCCGTGCAAGGGTTGGTTTTTGTGAGCGGCCGACGGCCACGGCGGGCTTCGGGAGCGGGCCTGGGCTGGCCGGAGCGCGGCGCGGCGAGGAGGAAGAGGCAGAGCTGTTTGCGGCAGCTCTGCTCCCGGCAGCCACTCCTCGGGCTTTATTGCTTTCACAAGTGGTCTCAAACCCACTACTTGAGAATAAACATCCCTGCGAGCTCGGCCGTGGCACTTTATAAATTCTCCTTTGCCGCGTTTTGTCACTGAGCTGATGAGTGACCTCGGCGCGGACCCCGCCGGACCGGAATAAAAACCGTGGCTCCTCTGATGTCCCCCAGACAATAATTATCATGTGCCAGTTAAGCCCAAACTACAGCTGAGGGATTTTACTTTAAAGCGGAGGCTCGGGCGCAAAAATGCATTTATAGCTCTTTGTCTGGCACCTCATTATGTGTGGGCCTGATTCATTAAGTAATTGGTTTGCAGTTGTTTACATGAGTATTAAGGCTTTCTATTCAGCAGCCTTTGAGATACACATTGTGCAAATGTTGCATGTTATGAATGCGGAATGAGGGGCCGGGGCCCGGCCCTATTGGCTAAACACTGCGCGCTGTTGAAAAGCAAGAGAAAGAGATTGGGTGCTGCTTTGCATAGCAATGACTTTCTTAATAAGCTTTACAGATTGATACACACAAGCTATAAAAGATGCAAAGAGATACTCTTAGCACATTTATCCGTGCTCGTTTCACTATTATGGGCCTGGAGAAGGGAAGAATTGAGGGCTTTCATACTCGGGTTTTCAGTGCGTGTCTTCAGTGCATGAGACTTAATAGAATCCGATGTTTATTGTATTATAAATCATGGGGAAGTAGGCAGATCTGCAACAGTTTATTATTAAAGATTCTTTCAATGTAAATCTTTTTCTGCCATTGTATTTCCTACAGCAAAATCATTTTGTGGTTGAGTGGGGATGAAAGGCATAATGTACGACGGAGTGAGTCTTAATAGGAAGCTGCTCTCCGAGTAAAGACCACTTGTTCCCTTTTGTTTGGCGGTGCATGCCAGAGCTTCCTCTTCTCCCGCAAACGCAAACGCCGCCTGCTCTACCTCCAGCAAGAAAACCGCTTTTCCCCGGCTCCTTGGCTTTCCCGGGGGAACATTCCCGTGCAGGGAGGCGCACCTTCGGGTGGGGTGTCAGGGTGCTGCGGCAGGCGGGAGGGCGTTAAGCGACACGGTCCTGGGGGGGGAGGTATCAGAAGTCAGGGCTGAGGCTGCCGGCGAGCGCAGGCGGGTGGGCAGCGATGTGTGTGGCATTCCGGGGGGCTGTAGCGATGGATGCAGCCAGTGGAGGTCACTCGCTTTCTGGGAATTCCCCATTTCGGATGCAGGCGTTTTATTTTTCTTTGACTTGCTTGCGCCGTCTCGTTTCCAAATAATCTGGAGATTAAAGGTGCGTTATCAGCTGAGAACCAAAGCCCGCTTTGGATTTGTCAGGACACCAACACGGTGTAAAGTATTTTAAACTTTAATTAATCCGCTGGAAGGACTCCGGGGGGAGTCTCTGAAGGCTGCCTTTCAGCCCTGTTGCCCGACACAGCTGTAGTGACATGCAAATAGAAGTTGGCAGAGTCGAATTCATCTCTTAATCGTCCCCGGGCCCGCTGGCTCTGGCCATCGGGGGGCACTCGGGCTCTGCGCGTCCCCCGCTCCCCCTTCCCGAGCCGACGCCAAAAAACTCCGCTGTGCTCCGAGGAGACGGCGCAGAGCTTTGGGGCTGGCAGCGCCCAGGACGCACAAACGCGTTTCCCGTGGAAATCCGGGAAAAGCGCCGCGGCGTCGGTCTGGATTCCTGGGGGGCGCACCCAGAAACAAGGCAGGGTCCGACGGTTTTACCCCCCCCCGATGCACTCCCAGTCCTCAGATGGCTTCCGTGAGAAGCTGGCCGAGAATTCCAGGAGGATTCTGTGCCGTTCCAGCTGTTTGTGTGAGCTTTGTTCCCTTTGCCTGCACGCCCAGCTGCGGCAGAAGCAGCGCTGTTGGGGCGGCGGTGCCTCGCCAGGTTTGTGGGGAGAGGCACCAACATCTGCCGGCCCAGCAGACAGGGAACAGTGGATTTTTTGGCACTGCCCCCGCTCTCCTGCGCAGCTTCCTCGCAGCGCTGTGATGCATCTTTGTGTCACTGGGGCTTCTTTTCTCCAGCGTGGTGAATCCAAACAGAGAGCGGTCTTAGACGCAGCTCGATAGAAATCTTTGTGTCCCAAAACAAGGGTTGTCCTACTCGCAGTGTGATTACTGAAATTCAGTGTTATTACTCCAGCTCTGGCGTGATGAATGGACTTTTGAGCTTATACTGCCTATGTGACACTGTGCAGAATATGTACTGTAGGTACTCGGTTTTCCAGGGTGGGAAAATCCCTTGGCATTTAGGATTTTCCAACTTTTCTGGGTGTCTTTTTTGCTTGACACTAAAATGTAGAAGTTCAACAGGTGCTTTAGCAAGAAGACCCTCAGGCCACCGTAGACGTTTTCTGCTGTTTTCCAGCAAGCCCCCTTGACTAACTTGGTTCTTCTTCTCCTGGCATTTTCCTCTTAATATTAATTTTCTTTATAGGGGAAAGAATATTTTCTTGGAGCTTTTTCATTCCTTACTCTTGCAGCATCTTCAATACAAAAAGCCCGTTTCATCAGAGAAACGGAGAGATTAAAAGGCTCTTTGAAGTGAAACCGGTTTGGGTTTTGTCTTTGTCAGAGCCTGGCTTCACTTTGGAATTATTTTAGGGAAGAAGCAAATGTGTAAATGGATATCGGAGGGTCACGATGGGGGATTAGTGGAGGCTCTGGAACCGGCCTGGCTCCATTTGTAGCCCGAAAATGTCTCGGTGGAGGTCTGTGCCCATTGTGTGCCGGGTGAGCGCAGCTGCTGCACGACACCGCGGTGCCGCTGCATCTCCCAGCTCGGCACAGCTCACCCCAAAATTCAGCCCCTGCAGCACTGCCCAGCCTTGGGCCAGGGGAGCTGCAGGTCCCCCTTTGGCTTTTCCCGTGTCCCCGCTCCATTTTCCGTATCTGCCCGGCATTTCCCTGTGCTCACAGCTCTCCAAGCCTTGGCTGCCAGCCCGCCCCCGTCTCCCTTCTCTGGGGGTGGCTGGGCTTGGCTCCAGGCTCTTTGGGGAGTGAACCCCATTCCACAGCCGGTGGGTTAGATGGTGTAGGAAGATGAATCCCGGGGAATGGATGGTGTTTGGAAGAGCACAAAACATCCCTGCTCTCCTGCCAGCTTTCACCTTTCTCATCGTGGGAAGGTGGGGTGGCAGTGGGAAGGTCTCCAGACGTTCCTGCAGCCATGGTGGTCCTTTCTGTATGGATCCTTCAGCTGGATCTGGAGGACCAAGCCCTGGAGCTGAGGGCAGTCCTCAGCACCGGTGTGATCCTCAGCACCGGACCCAAAGCACTGACCCGCTGGTGATTGTTGTGGGGTTGAACCACGGAGGGAAGTGGGACAGAACCGACAGACTCAGCTGTCAAATGGCTTTTTGTGAGAAGCCAGCTGCAAATCCCAGAAGCCCCACGCTCCCCACCCAGCAGCAGGCCGGGATGTGGCCGAGGGGAAGCGGTGGCTGCTGCCCCCAGTCTCCTCCTCAGCTACTTGAAATGGTTCCTGTGCCAGCATCTGCAGGAGGAACCTCAGCAGCTGCAGTTCAGTGGTCTCCTGCTCCACACCCCGGGGAAAACAGTGCAGCCCCTTGAGCACATTTTGGTGGGCTGAGCCTGGGATGCTTGGAGCACCTCCTGGGAAGGGCTGAGGACCAGGAGATGTGGCCAAAGGGAGCAGGAGATTGGGGTGTTCGGCAGGAGCAGCCCAGAGGCTCCGGCTTCAAATCCTCTCTGGGTATCCTGTCAAGTGAAAGCCTTTGAAGAAATGAGAGCATGAGGCAGTGTGGAGTTTTTCTTGGAATAAAAGGGAAAGGCAGTGGGATGGCGCACTAAAGGAATGTTGGAGGCACCTTTGAAGGCCAACAGTTTTGAAGTTTTTTTACTGAATAAGGTAACAATGAGTTGCACCACCATTGGCAGTGGCATTCCTGCCTTGGATTGGCACCTCGGTGGAACCTGGGCTGTGTTTAACATTCTCTGGGAATTTCTGTCCGCAAAGCAGGAGCCTTTGGAGAGGATCGGGATTTAAACAGTGGGAGCTTTCTCTGGGTTAAAAGAGGAAGAGTGGCTGCACCACTGGTAGCTGCAATGTGTGAAACTTTACACGTGGCTTTCCAGCTGCAATCCCAAATTCTGACTGAATACCGAGGGTAACGCAAGCAAGGAACCATCCCTGCTTTTTTTTGGTCTCCTTCACAAATGCCTCCACAATTGTGGAATACTTGCAGCTCCCCACTTTAAGCACTTGTGTATGGGCTGCCACATTTTTAAACGAAGCACAGCAAACCACAGACATTTCAGAGAGTCACTGTTGTGACTGAGGCCACAGCTTCAAACTGCACCTTGACACTGGCTTATATTTCACTGGTCGGCCCAGTGATGTCCCCAGATATCTCCTATTTGATCTTCCTTGTTAAAATCAGCTGAAGCTTTATTTTTGGAGCTTCTTGCAGGACTGCTGCTGTAACAGTTAATTCTCCCCCGAGTTTGCCCCTCCGTGTGATTATTCCCCAGCCCCAACACAATGCAGGAGCTGCACACAAAAGATCAAAATGATTCCAGCTTGTTTGAGCGATTCAAAAGGGCCTGTGATGCTCCAGACACAAGAGCAGCCATTTAGCAGAGGAGGCTCGGGCTGCACACACATCAAGGTAGATCAAAGGCAGCAGAGGCTGTGCATTGCCTTGGGGCTGGGGACAGGAGGAGAGCACAGGCAGGAAGTGCAGGGAGCAGCACTGGGCGGGGGGGATTTGGTCTTGTTTGGATTTTGTCTGAAGGGCGGCAGCAGCTCGGCAGGGCCCTGCTCCTGTGTACCCCAGCTCAGTGCTGGTGTAAATCAGTGCTGCTACCGGGGAATGACTCCAGGAACAGCTGGACCAGTGTCCCTCCTGCACGTGAATTTCCCCACCTTTTAGGTGAAGAAGTCTGTGATTAAACAGTTATTTGAAAAAAACAAAAAAATAGTTACAGAAGTGACTGGGTTGTTGCTTTTTTAATTGGAGACCTTGTGCTGATTGTTGGAAATGTTTTACAGGACTGAACTGCGGAAGGAAAGAGTAACTGCCATAAAATCCAAAGGTAAGGAACTAATGTTGCGCTACCGAAAATTAAAGTCTTCCTAGTTAGATTTATACCATAGAAGCCCTCCCAGAACAACGTTATGATCTGTATAGAGTACGGAGAAGGGGAAGCATGGGATTTCCCTGTCCCCTGGGGGAGCCAGCAGGGAGCTGAGGAGGACAGACCCAGGGTGGAGAGGAGGAGGAGGAGGAGGAGGTGTTTGTGGGGCGGGTGCTGGGACCTTTGCAGGGTTTATTCAAACACGGGTGAACAGCAGGTGGAGGGAACCTGAAGGAGAAAGGGAAGCCTGCGGTCTTCCTTGGTCTTCCCTGTGCCCTGGGACGTGGGTGGCTGCAGCTGGATGGTTTTGTCTGTGGCCAGGCTGATTTTGTTCTGAATTGGTGTCTGGGCCCTGCGTGTTTTCGCTGCCCGCGCATTCCGGTTCCCCCGTTCCCGCTGCCTGGAGCCCTGCTGCGGGCGCTGGCGGTGCGGAACGGCCCGCTTTCAGAGGTGTGCCGTCGAACTGAGCTACTGGTGCCATCGAGGACGGCTGCTTTGGTGGCACTTGAAAGGCTCCGGCGTCCCCGGCCCCTTTTCTGTCTCGGAGCCGTTCAGCATGGGAGCGAGCGCGGGGCCGGCTCTGATGTTCCCAGCAGAGCGCAGCCCCGCGGCCCGGGGGGCCGGGGATGGAGGATGAAAGGTGCAGCTGCTGCATTTGTAGATAAGGTGTTTGTGGAGCTGGTGCCGTCAGAAGCACCGAAGTGCCTCAAACACGAGCCGCAGTGTCTGCGTGAGCGTGACAGCCTTCCTCCTCCCGCTGGCCGAGCCCTGGGCCTCTGGGTTTGGTGGGAGCGGAGAGCACGGCTCTGTCAGCCACCGCGGCCCTGACTTCGTGTGCTACGCTTCCCGCCCTGTCCTATCCGTGGGTCAAAAGAATTCACATCTCCAGAAATCTCTCAGGCACTCCGAGCTGCCGTGGGGTCCCGCTGCTGTCGGTGAAAGGGTTTGCCGATTCCCAGAGCCTCAGGTTGAAGCCATGTGCTCCACCGAGATCAGGCCTGCCCGGCTCTGATCTGGTCTCAAAGCGCTGATTTTTCACTTGTGACATCATTGCCGTTTTTGTGCCAGCTCGGTGATGTCACGGCCCACTGGTGACTTCAGCGCAGGGTCAAGCACTGGGGAGAAAGGGGAAGAGAAGAGACAAAGCTGTGATTCAGGCAGCAGCTGGTCAAGTAAATTGCTTGGAGTGGAAATGTTCTGCCCGGCTACCTTGCGGCACAATGGAGTGGGAGCGCTGAATGAGGCCGCTGTCCGGCACAGCCGCTCCGCTGCCGGACACCGCGCCGGACACGCGCACCTGGGGCTGCGGCTCCCAACTCCAGCCCTCGGGACGGGTCCCCCGCTGACAGCTGTGACAAACAGCACGGCCACGGGAAAGGTGTTACACCTCTGCTCTCTGTCTCCTCACCCGCAGCGTTCTGGGGCGAATCTGACGACAGCAGCTCCGAGCTCGAGGCTGCTCTGCGCCCACAGACCCACGGCGCAGATTCAGACGACTTCGATGACTTCTATGACTGAGATTCTCCCACCGGCTTCTGGGAGGGAAGGAACAAACTGTATTTTCTTTTACGCAGTGAGTGTGCCGCGGGCCGAAGCGCTGCTCGTCACTTTATTGGCAAAGAAAACTTAGATAGCAAATAAATAAACATGAAGAGTGCTATCCATTGTCTGCGTGCTCGCTCTGACCTGCAGTGTTTTCCTGCTCTGACAGGGAGCCTGCTGTGTGACAGTCCCCTCCCGAGGCTCGGGATGTCCCGGCACTGGGACTCCAGCGCTAGACGGGCTTTGGGAAGAAGCAGACAAGCATTGTGGGTATGCAGACAGGCACTGCTGGGGCGGGCTGGCATGTTTGATCTTTATCTTCTTCTGCAACAGATCAAGAAGAAGAAATGCATAAAATGTCCATTTGTAATTCAGCACATTTTGGAACAGAGCAGCATTTACATGTGGTGAGCCCCAGTGCTTTCCCGCTTTTCCTTGCTTTGTGAAATCTGTGCTGGCGTTGCTGTGTGGACATCAAGTAATTGGATGACTCCAGGAGCTTCATGCATTTTTAATTTTCTTCTTTTCATTCCTTTTATCTAAAATTAAGTTCATTAAAGATGAGATTTTCTTTGGGAGGGAGAAACCAGGGGGCACGTTAAAGCTGTTCATAAATGGTGACAAGTTCAAAAGAAGAAAGCGGCACCCCAATTAAGCTGTGCTGTGCAGCAGCCCCACGTCTCCCAACACGGCCACCAATCCCTGCACCCCATCCCTCAAAACCCAGCTGGAAATGGGAAAAACATTCAGTTTAGTAAGAGGAACGTGTAGGCCGAGAGCTCAACACCACAAAATGACTCGCAGAAGGCTTGCTCAGAACCGAGCAGGAGCCATTGGCACAGCCACCTCCTGTGGGTTTCCGTCTGCCAGCGGTGAGGGTGCAGCCTGGAATGTTCTGGGAACTGGGAAATCTGCTGCACCAAGGATGGAGCTGCGTGAGTCTGTGACCAGGGCTGACACCCTGGGAGACTGCTGGGCTCGACTAGAGGACTGCAGCAACTGACAGAGTGAGAGGACACGGTCTTAAGCTGCGTCAAGGGAAAAGGAGGTTGGATATTAGTAAAAAACTTTTCATGGAAAGAGTGATAAAGTACTGGAATGGTCTGCCTGGGGAGGTGGTGGAGTCACCATCCCTGGATGTGTTAAACAAAAAAAGACTGGATGTGGCACTCAGAGCCATGGTTTAGTTGAGGCGGTGTTAGGGCATGGGTTGGACTCGATGGTCTTGAAAGTCTCTTCCAAGCCTGTGATTCTGTGACTAAAGCCGGACTTTACTCAGGGCTTTAATGTCCTTTTTACCACGCTGACTCCCTGTGTGCTCCGGGAGGGACCGCTGCCTGCAGAGGAATCCCTGTGCCGTGGGGTTGGCACAGTGCTCAAGGCCTGGGAGGTGCATGGAGAGGAGGAGCAGCCCCGCTGGAAAAACGCAGCAGCCTGCGCCGCCGAGGAACGCCGCCTCAGCGGCGCAGTGTTTGCAGCTCTGAGCTCCTCCTGAGTGACTCCGGGCTGCTGGTGTCAGCCCGCTTTCTGTCTGCTGCATGACACGGGCTGCCTCAGCCCCGACAGCGGCCCGTGACAGCTGACAGATGGCTGCGGAGCCGCGCGCAGGCAATCTCTGCCTCTCGGCGTCGCAGCGATAGCCGGCTTCCTCCGGAGCATTATTTAGGATACTCTTATTGTGCACAGACTCATTAGATGCAAAACGTCCTGCCAGTCAGCTTCCCCCTGCTCCTTCACGGCTGTCACGCCGCAGCCCGGCGCTGGTGGCAGGTGACGCTGACGGACAGGGGGACTGCAGTCAGCGCAGCCCCAGCAGATTCCCATCGGCACGCCACTCATGCGAGGAAAGGGCCCGAGCGGGAAGCCTGGCCCGCTGCTGCCGCGGGTGTGCCGCTCCGTGCTGCGCTCCTGGATGCGCAGCTGCCAGGTGAGAGCCGGGCTCGCGGCCCGGCGCAGCCGCTGCTGCTGCTCAGAACAACTTTTCAAGGAACTGTCTGCTGCAGTATTAATTTTTCCAGTGCTTGCTTACCCAGGTAATTATGAGATAAGACGATTGCGTTTCATTTGCCTCAGCCAGCCTTCTGTTTTCTCGGGCATTATCAGGAAAACAACTGATTGCTCATCAATACAAACAAAACGCTGGCGCTAAGCTGCCGTGCTCCCTACAAAATTCTGGGAGGAGAAGCGCTACAATAGGAAGCTTCAATCAGGGAATGTTTTGTAAGGAACAGATAAAGGACAATCTTCGGCTGATACCACAGGTGTGGTGCCACTACAAAGTTGCAGGGGAAATTTATTCAAGTCACAGATTTTACTGAGAGGAACGACAACAGAAAACGGCTTAACAGCAGCCGAGTGAGGATAAGAATAATGAGAGACACGATATTGGGTTAATTTGTTCTACAGAGCATTAGCCGGGTACCGTGGCTCCCCTCCGCTCCCCAAACGGGCGGCATTGACTCCACGAGCACCGCTGAGATTCTGTTATTTTTGTTAAATAACTGCTCCCCAGCCCCGGCCCCGCGGCCGCCCTGCTAAGGGAGCTGGTGTGCGGCGATGGGACGCGGCAGAGCAAACCCCACCTCGTGTTAATCCCGTTTAATTCCCGGCTGTTTAATTCCATTTTGGCGCCGTCAGACGGCCATAAATTAACAGTATTTGCTTATGCCGCGGGCAGAGCGAGGGGACGGGGCTCTGTGCCTCGTGCCGCTCTCACGCATCACACGGAGCCCTTCCCCACTGGAAGCGTCCCCTCGGAGGGCACAGGGCAGCCGTGCCCTGAATCGCTCCAGTTGTTGCCAAACGCGGGACCAGTCGAAATTGTCTGAAGTCGGGATGTTCTTTAACGTAAGATCTTTGTAGACTTTCACACAGAGACCTAATTAGTGCACCCCTTCCTCAAGGACACCCTGGAACTAGCAGGCTTTAAGGGTGTAGCAAATGCAGATGTTGATGCCTACGTGTACCTTCCTAACTTGGCAAAACACCCAAATTCCGCGTGCCCTACAGCAGAACCGTGTTCGTTGTAACACTAAAATCCACACCCGTAGGTCAAAAAGAGGTGCAGGGCCTCCCCCTGAGCATGTGGGAGAGTTGGCTGTACTTTCATGTGGGAAGTACTGATCAATCCTAAATGAGGGGCTGTGCTCGGTAAATTGCCAGCTCTGGATTTCTGAGTATAAATAATGGTGTTGGAAGTCTGGCTGGTTGTGCTGCATTTAGGGAAAACACCGAGCCCGCGGCTCGTGCAGCGCTGGAATAAATAATCCGTGTCTCTCTTAATTACCGACTTGTTGGGAAACACTGCCGTGTGTTCACAGCCTAAAGCACCCCACAGCAGCACCTCACGCTTGCTTTTTAACAGGGTGCTGAGGGAGGACGATTCCCCTGCTACACTGCTCGTTTAGGCTGTTTCTGAAGGGAAGATCACAAGGAACACTTTTGTGTCTCGGCTGAGCGTGAGGGCGGCAGCTGGGCTGTCTCAGAAGTCAGCCGTCGCTCAGCTTCGCTTTTCCTCCTGCATATCGTTTTTTGTGCCCTCAGGCTTTGCTTTTCCCCTCTGGGTGTCCCTTTCGTGCCCCAGGAGCTGTCCGGACGCGCTTTAGGGGGATCGTCCCCTCACGTCCCCCGCTTCCCCTCAGGCCGCCATCGCTGCGCCCTCAGCCCGCACCCAAGATGGCGGCGGCGGCGCCACGCTCGCGCGCCCCACGTGACCGCCCGCCCCCGCCCGCCGCCCTTCCCGGCGTGCCCCGCGCCGCCCCCCGACCCCGGAAGTGCCGCCGGTGCCTCTCGCCGCGGCCCGTCCCGCGCCCGCCATGGGGGTCCCGGCCTTCTTCCGCTGGCTCAGCCGCAAGTACCCCTCCATCATCGTCAACTGCATCGAGGAGAAGGTGAGCCGGCCGCCCGGCACGGCACCGGGGCTCGGCGGGGCGGGCGCGGGGGCTCGGTGCCGAGAGGCCGCCGTGCCCCCGAGGGCCGCCCCGGGGCCTTTCCAAGGCGGGCGGGTGGCTGGGCTGGGGCTTTGTCTGGCTTTGTTTGGGGTGTTGTTTAGGATTTGGGAAGGCTCGGGGGTTTGGGGGGCTTTTCCCGGGCTCTCCGTGCCGGTGGGAGCGGCGGCGGAGCGGGGGGAGTTCTCCCAGCGGCCGGATCGGTGCGGCGGGCGCGCCGGGGCGCTCCCGGCAGGAACGGGCACGTGGAGGGCCGGGAATGGGCGGCGGGGCCGGGAATGGGAGGAAGGGTGGCAATGGGGCCTCTCCTCGCCCCTGCCCTTCTCCGGCCGGTCCGCTGGAGCCGCGGGGCCTCCGCACGGCCCCGGCTGCCGCCCGCAGCGGGGCGGCCTGTGGCGCTGCCGCAGCGGGGACAGCGGGAGTGCCCGCTCGCTGCTGTTTCTCCGGTGTTTGTCACGCTCCCCGCTGTTCCACAGCTGGCTCTTTGGGGGTCCGAAGCCGCGGGCAGGCTCGCTGGGAGCAGGGCAGCGCTTACGCCGAGCCCGTGCTTGCGCTGCTCGGCGGGAGCAGCCCCGGCGGGGTTTGGCCCGGTGCCGGTGGCTCCCAGGTCAGGATGAACTCGGGTTTGGCCCGGTGCCGGTGGCTCCCAGGTCAGGATGAGCTCCCCGAGCAGGGAGCTGATATTTCCAAAGGCATTCTGTAAGTCTGGCTCTCCGTGGCTGCAGCAGCAGCAGCAGGTTTCAGCGAAGGCTCTGGCACAGGGCTCCTCGCTCAGGTGCCTTTCCAGGCAGTGCTGCAGCTGAAGTGATGTTTATTTGGGTTTTTTCGGGCTGGTTCCTCCTTGCGGGCACGGGGGTGGTGTTGTGCCATCCCGGGGGACACACGGGAGGGGACAGGGACCATGTGGGCTCTCCCTTCAGCAGCAAGTTTCGAGCTGGTGGATTTACTGTGCCCTGAGCGCGGCAGGTTCTCCTCCTCAGGCCCAGCTCGAGCCTTCCCGAGGAGGCAAACCCTGCAGTTCTTGCTCCCCGAGCTGCTTTTCCCCTCGGCTTGTCCAGATAATTCGTGTTCTGTTCTGCTGGCCTGTGCTGGCTGCGTTCTGCCCTCCCCTCTCGCAGGTTCGGAGGGCTC